GTGGCTCCATGGCACTGGGCACACCAGACTGCTCTGTATGCTGTTTGTGATGGGGAGAGTGCCCACCTTGTTCAGAGATGTGAGAGGAACAGTCAGGGCCGATAGGTGCCCAAAATGTTTAGCAAAGCTGCTGTAGTGACTGCACCTGATTTGGTGGAGAGCAATCAGCAGCACAGGGGCTACCATAAAGTCCCTCCCAAAGTGATAAATGATGCTGGGAAGGTAGAAGAGGGAGGAATGGCTGTCCTGTGAAACACTGGTGGTACAGATTTTCTGGGAAAACCTCCAGTTGTAAGCCCTAGCAAAACACTGTCGTGGCTGTATGTGTAAATAGCTTTTGGCAGGTCTGTAAGTAAATTGAAATTGCCAATGCACCTTTTGCCATTATAGTGATGCCTCTGTTACAGCCTTTGCTAGCAGAGTAACGCTGTAAAATCCCCATGTCCGACCGACAAATGCCAGCAGAAGTTCCCCACCAAGGGAGGGTGAACTCAGAAATGGGCTCCTGGCACCTCTCTGCCCTCTGCTCTGTGCAGGGATCATTGTCCGGGAGCACAGCTGGGGCTTCTGCTCCGACGTGGACATTTTGTAGTGTAACAGGTAGTAGAGTTAAGAAGTTGAAAGCAGGGATTAAAAGTCAGTGGACTCACTATTTTCTCTCCTCTTCTTTCCAGCATTCTGTGTAAAGTCTGAAAAAGTCCTTTGCTGAGCTGTAAAAGCACACCCAGCAAGCGTGCACCCAGGGAGAGGGGAGACTTCAATCCCTCAGTGAAATCTCTTCTCCAAATTGTGCCCAAGATCACGTAGAAAGGGTGTGGCCAAAAGGAAGAAATGCTCTGCTTGAAGTCCCATGGAAATCCACCTGCAGACCTGCAGCTGGAGAAAGCTCTGTCGGGCCGCGACCACGGGCAAGCCCAGAGCTCGTTATCCCGACTCATTTCCCTGCATGTCTACTCCAGGGAGGACGGCCAGTCTGTGCAATGTTTTCTTCTGTCAAGCATGAAACAAACCTGTAAACGGCTGAGCCCTAATGCAGCCAGCTACTTAATTTGCCAGGGTGACTCATGCACGATGGTATTAAGACGCAGGAATTACGTTCTGATTTAGTTCCTCTGCTCTCCCTCAGAAGTGGTTTCCTACAAGAAAGGAACTGGCAAGGCAGAGGTTGCTTTTACAACAGCAGCAGTTCTCTGGAACGAAATGAGATACCAACCTGTTCGCAACAGCTAAAGACTAAAGAGGATTAAATCCCGGCCTTATCCACAGCTTGTAAGTCACCGTATCTGCCTGTGGCAGTTTTCCTCGTGTTTCGGTATCCGTTTTATAACGATACAAACACGCTGCAACGACTGAGAAGGTCTGATCCACAGCTGCCAGCCTCAGAAACCGCACCAGCCTTTCGGCATTGCCATAGGGAACCTCAGCCCTGAAATGTAACCTCTGTCTCTTGAGCCCCGATACACAGATTTGGCACGGTTGTACCACTTATTTATTAAAATTGAAAAGCATCCAAAGAAAATGCGGTGGTTTATTAAGGTTTGCTGTGGTGCAGACAATGGTTGGGCGAGGCAGACTCCAATGGGAGCACATGATGTGACACAGAATGGTGTGTGGGATCTGCTGGGGAGAAAATAGAGCTCCTTAAATTCCTCAAATTTGGTTCAGAAAACTGTGCTTTAAGAAGGGACGCAGATCACAGTCATAGCTCTGGGATGGGTAAGAGTGAGCAGAGAAGTGGAGCTCAGGGTGAGCGAGCCCTGGAGCGGGAGAAGGGGATGTCAGGTGCTTCCTGCTGCAAATGACTTGGCTGTATTTTTAGCAGAATCGCTGAGACCATGGGTGGCCACTGTTCATGGAGCTGAAACAGTGGGTGGTTTGGGGTTTGGCTTAGGAGATGATTTACTTGTAGCTCCTACAAATGCATTTGTTCCTGCTTCCGCAGGGCTTTTACAACAAAGAAGATCTAGTGCACTTCAGGGATGTGCACATCCAGGGAGCTACACTTGCTTTCTGCTCCCAGCCCAGTTTCTACTCAGACTCTCTGGGTTCCTCATGATTAAATGTTCTGCAAAAAGTTTGCACAGGTGGGGGACACCAGCATCCCAGTGGGCTTGGAGCAGACACGGTGACGGACACAGCCTGGGCTGGCTCTGCACAGGCTGACAGACAGGCAAGGAAACAAGGAGATGCTTCGTTACTGAGGTGCCGGGCTCTTGCAGGGCCATGCCACTGTCACCCTCAGTGACTCACTCAGCGCCTGCAGAGCTCCCGCTTTCCGTGAAGCACTGCAGACTGGATCTTTTGCTGGAAGGGAAGAGCGAACTCTGTTTTCAGTGATGTGCGGTGATGCTGCACCTACTGGTGATTCATCCCATAACCGAGGGAGCCATTAAGTGATTAGGAGAAGATTAGCAGCGGTAAGGGATCCTTGGCACACAGTAACAGATCCAGCTAGAGAGCTCCCAGGAGGTTCTATCTGTTACAGGCCAAAACGTTAAAATACAAGATTTACTGCTCTCCTTGCTAAGTAGGGAGGCAGATTAGACCAGTTACACTTTCCTGGTATAAGGTTCCTCTGCTGCCAAAATCTGAGTTTGAAAGTTGCGGAGCCAAAGCAGGCAGGGCAGGAGCTGGATACGGAGCATCTTCCCTCGTCTTACGGGGAGTCTGAGCAAATCCCCCCCTTGCAGCTCTCCAGAACAGCCAGCTGTAGCGAGGGGTAAATCTGTTCTTGGGTTTGTAAAGCTCTTGGAATACTTTTCAGCCAGTGATCTCATTACGCTGGAGGATATCCAGGGACTGTTACAGGAACTTTCATCGATGTTATTACAGCCTTGTTCTGAAACACCTCACGGTTTTTCTTTGCAGTAGGTGAGTACGTATGTGTGAGTGTGTTCACTAACGCACTGTCCTTTCAGGACTTGTTTTTAGGTGTGCAAGGATTGCTGGTGCTCAACCAAAGCTGCCAGATCCTGTGTTGACGGAACATAACGCAAGGAGAAATGACATCTCCCCTGGGTCCGTGCATCTCTCTTCTCACATTAGGTAGCAGCCAAGTGAGCAATTCGCTTCCTGTTTTCAATTTAAGATGCATTAGAAAAGCAGTTTTGGCACCGCTGGTGTGGCTCTCGAACGGAGCCGGGGAGCCTTAGCAGGCTGCCGGAAAGCAGTCGGCTCTGCCCTCAGGGAGGGTGAGCAACCACCCTTGGTAGAACGGGCTGCGTTGGTGGCCTCTGGACTGATGCTATTCCTCTTCTCAGGAACAGTGAGTACGATTATGTCCCCCCCCAGCGCTGTAAAGGAGTAGCCCAGAAGAGCCAGCTCCAAACTGGAGCTGGGAAAAGCAGCTACTGCACATAGTTGAGCAGAAAACCACTTAAACCAGGTAGGAACAGGAACCACAACCCTCCGCGTTTCTCACCCTTCGGCTGGCACCAATGCAGCAAACCCAACGACACGCAGGTAGGTGCATCCAGGGGGGTAAGGACCAGCTTATGAGTCCTCCAAATACAATGTCTGCTGTTTTATGAAACTTCTGCAGTTACACCTCTTCCTTCCCCATTCAACAACGAACATATTTGACTAGAAAGCAAAGACAGAGCAGGCTGGCTGTGGTGTGCTCTTTAAATGTGCCTTATTTAAGTTTTTGGGGTCAAAAACTGTGATGCTGTGTCTGTACAGAACGCAGCAGCTTAAGCCCCTTAATACTAAATTATTAGTCGTATATTTAACAGTGTTTGTGCTAGTAGTGACAATTCACTGGCTAGAAATGAAAAGGTAAGTTCAATAAATTGAGTATTCCATCCGCTATTCTAAGAGCTGTTTGCTTTATTCCATTTGGGAGCAAGCTCAAACGTGTCTGTGCTTCAGCTGTCAATTAACTTGCTCTCCTGCCCTTTGAATTAAGAAGCGTTGTCTTCAGGCTCTGCAGAAAGTCTCGACACGGCAATTTATGATGCTACCAGCATTTGCCGCTGAAACTCATTGCTGCCGTGCCCGAGTCAGAGAAAGGGAGGGTGTAACTGAAGCCAACTTACCCTGCGAAGCTCAATTTGGCACTGAGACAGCTGTGGTGTGGGCAGCTGAATACTTGGGGTGGAAACCATCAACAGACTGGGCAGGGTGCAGTGCAGGCAGCAGTAACTTGCACCTCTACCATGTTTTGTTTGACTGCTGTAATCAGAACATACTTAATTATAGCAAAATAGCTCTGCACGTATCTCACATCTGATAGGGAGGTAGTCAAATTCAATTTATATTTGCCTTCGCTCTGCATTTCACACTTTATCGCTCATCCACACTGGCAAGGTGGTTTCCAAAACTGAACGAACAGGAAAGCATGAGGCTGTAGCTTTTTGCTACGCTGAAAATGTAGTAAAATGACATTACCTAACCTGGACAAGCAAGAACAGAAGAGGAAACTCAAATGCAGAGCATTGCAGAATTTGGTAAACTTTGTAAAGATTACAAAAGGAACATCCAAAATAAATAGCTGGCACCATTAAGAAATATATAATATTTCTCCTGTATGTGTTTGGTGAAAATACCTTCCTTACCCACAGCAAATAAACAGCACCCAGGCGTGGCACCTGCTCAGCACGCCTCAATTATAACTTCACTAAATGCCTTATTTTGTGCAAAAGTTTTTCCTTGGTGGTCTTGTTAAGACCACCGCTCAGGGCCAGGCTTGAAGTGTAATCACTACCAACAGGATTGAGTTTTTGTTTCTCCTGCCACTAGATCTCAGTACCACTGCCACGTGCAGTTTCGTGAGTGCACTGGACAGACCCTGTTGCTCTGGACTGTCACAGTCCCCCCTCCACCTCAGCTGTACCACATGTAAGAGCTCTTGGGTCAAAGTAAGTTTTAAAGCTTTATTGGTCTAAATAAAAAAGTACAAAACATTTTTACAATAGAACCTTGTTATTTTCCTGTGATTTAGCAAAACCATGGGAACAGGCTCTTTGCGTGCAGCATCCAGGGCGCGCCCGGAGCTGCTGACCTTGCAGCCAGGCAGGCTGCAGAGCAGCGAAGCACCTAGCTTGCTGCAGGGACCACGGTCTTATGACACAGCCTGGCCAGCAGTCCAGCCATTTGTAGAAGGGAGTTCACACCTTCTGCTATCTTCATATGAGTGTACCCGATTTCCTGGTGACAAAGACATTGTAAAACCTTCTGTTTTCTCCCTCAGTCTATGTACAGTGTGACTAAACAGAACACAGCCCTTACTGCTAAGAGACCAACTTCAGCCACTCCAACTGAAAGCAAGCGTATTTTCTCACGTAGACCAACTAGGATGCCTTTTTTCCTTCATTTTTTTAAATCAAAGCCTGGCTTTCCCCACTTCCTTTGTGTAAGGAGCAAGGTGTGTATATTTTAGGACAGGTTTTAAATCTGAAGAGTGATTCCATTACACCAGTTTACCGTTTGTGTAATGGTCACATAATGGTAACAACCATTAACTGGCTGTTAATATAATTTAATGTTTTACTACCACTCGGACTAGAATCAAGTACGTGCTTTTCTCAGGGAGTTATTTGAGGCTTTGATGTGAATAATAATTTCATGCAGCATTCAGTCTGTTAATAACTCTAGCTGATCACTCAAGTGACTTTTGGCACTTCCGTGGGTAGTAGATGTTAAACTGAAGTGACCATTCGTACTGACAAACTGATGATGCAGAGTGGGAAAGCAAGCAGTCATGAGTTAAGAAATACTCTTTTTGTGCTAATATATAGCAAATCTCAAACAGAAAAACCTGAGGCTGCCCCTGTATTAAGGAGCACATCCTCTTCTTAAAAAGGCCCAGAAGACCCCACCAGGAGCTATAGGTTAGAACTAACCTTGATAAATTCCAGTTTCAGATATTCTGGCATCTGAAAGGTTTTACACACACGGAAGATGTTGCCAATCACATCCTCTGGAGAGTATCCAAGTCGCCACAGGTGGGCAAGAATCTGGGCAGGCAAGAACAATCCTTCATTTATCTGCAGAACTTACCAGGTGAGTCAAGTATATTCACTTTTGAAACAGCTGTATGTAACTACTGGAACTGCACGTACTATTTATCAGATGATTAAACCTCAATTGTTTAGCAAGTAATTTCAATACAACTTGCTTTTTTGCTTGTTGGTTTATTCATCTGAACAGACCCCTGCATAAAAAGGGTTTAATTCATCAACTCATCTGCACGTTATCACCCTTATCTTAAAAAACAACACACACTCTGAATTCTTCAAAACAAACAAGAATTCTGTAGAGAAAAAGCGTCTGTCTACACAGGCACCACACATGGAAACCAACCTTGTACGCTTCATCAATATTTGCATTTACGCAGTGTTGTATCATTTCTTTCACAAGCAGAGGGTGAGGCTCGTCACATACCTGTATCAAAGAGGAATATTTCACTTCAGAAAAAGACTCTGCATTAAACCCCTGGTATTTCCACCAAGGTTCTATACAGCTGAAGTACTGAATCAGACACATTCTGTAATACAGATTTAATTCTAAGTAATGTGACTTTTCAGCTGTCCTGCCACAGCCGATTCAATAGCATGAAAGGAGAACACCCAAGTCATAGATTCAGAAGTTTTCACCGTGAAACTTCCCAGCAGTTACATGATTTGTGTGCTTTGAGAGCGCCAGGAGGGACTGCCAGCGCGCTCGCCCTTGCCCTTTCAAAAGGCACGCGCGCTTCTTCACGGCCTCCTGCTGTAACTGCTCAGGTGCGTAGTGCTGTCTGCAAACCGGCAAAGCACCTTCAAAGGCTTCGCTGTCCGACCGAAGGGCTCGCCCAGCTGCAGTGCTAAACTTCGGGCGTCACTGGTTTAGCTGTTACTAACCTTAAAGACATTTTCACTGTTTATAAAGCCAAATCCAGAATATGTGGACTGTAAGTTGTTTAATGCCTGTGAAAGAAAAAATAAGGCTTCATTTATTTTCTGGAATGCTCTACTTCTCACTCCCCTCCTCAGGATGAAATATGCTTTTCAGGAAATGATACCAAATAAGCAGTTTTCGATTAAGCAACAGAGTAAACTGCAAATGGATGCAGACTTCCTGCCACAAACCCGGTATCCAGTTCCCACCAATTCACTTTTAAGGAGCAGATCCACCTTAAAACCTCACAAAAGCAAATAGTTAAGTTACTCTGGTGCCCCAGGTCACATTCCCTTTGCTTTACCTCTCCAAAGAGAAATCCTTGAGAGCCACAATTAAAAGGATTTTTTGCTTTAAACAGAAGCCTTTGTTTCATTGCCTTTCTCCTTTTACCTGTCTCATATCTCCTTGCGCTGTGAAGATAATGGCTTCTAGTCCATCATCGGTATACGGTACATCCTCTTTCTCAACAATTTTCAGTAGCCTTGCAAGGATCTGTGAATCTGTCAGCTTGGTGTAACGCAGCACTGCGCACCGGGATTGAATAGGTTCTGAGGACAGAGATGCATAATTAGCATTTCCCTCTTTTCTCAAAAAAAATACTATTTGTTTCATCTTCGAAGAAGCTACCTCAGTTTCCAACTCTTCATTGGCCTGCTTTTAAAGAAAAAGGAGATGCCATATTCTGTTTGTCAGCTCCAACATCTCCTTAAGCATATAAAATTGTTATAGTCCCTCTCTTGCACCCAGTGGTGCTATTGAGTTTTCACAGGTATGTGCAACTATACATGAAGCTCAGCCTCTTCTGTTCTCCAGGTTTTCTGAATGTATATGTTGATCATGCTATTTTAATGGCTAAACAAGAAAAGTCTAAAGGTCTACAATGTGTTAGCCTACAGGCAAACTTAAAGATTATGTTTCAGAAAGGACACCAAACCTGGTTCAACATCCAGGTAACAACACATCAAATATTTTAAATTGTAGCAGAGTTGGATGGAGATTAAGCTCCAAGTATGAGAACTCTGCTCCCGCAGTCATGTGTAGCACTGTCCATCAAAAACAGAGGGTTCACCTGCTACACAAATATACTCTTCTTTCCTTAGCTGGACGTACAGGTGGTTTGATTTTTCAGAAGTACAATGGTTTCTAGTAGCAAGTGGGTCCAAGGTATTTCTGAAAACTGCCTTGGAAGTTAGCCAACAGCATGGAGAATACAGGACAAAACTTCCCAGGGACCAGCCACACTTTACCTATGATTTTGTCTGAGGCATTGCACGCAAGTGCGAAGCGCGTTGTTTTGGAATAAATTTCCATTGTTCTTCTCAATGCTTGCTGTGCTCCATCTGTCATGCTGGGGAGAAAAGAGTTAGGACAGATTTTGCCCTGCACTGACTTATAGGTGCAGCCTAATAACTATTTTTATACAAGCTTCAGAATTTACTGATACTAAACAGTGCTTTGTAAATTACTTGATATTCGGGCTTGATAAACTAAGCAGCTTTTTCTAGTCACGTGAACAAATCGCCCCACAATGCAGATAGTACTGAGACCTCCATAAAACTAACACACAAAACCAACTCATTAATACTCCGAGGAATACTGCTAAGAATACTACTGCTTATATGCAAATGGAGGAGAATGTCCCATTTTCATCCAGACAGGCTGTCTACGTAAGCCAGATTCTTTTCCAGGGGAAAGACCCAGTAAACTGGAAGATGCTATTTCATATCCAGTGAAATCACAAAGTGTTTCACCCCGATATTCAATACCTCCTTTGAAGCAATGGGACCTGCTTGATATGAGTAATCTCATAAGAACACTGTTTAATGCATATTTATTTCCTAACAAATTAGTTTTGATAGCCTGATAGAAACATCTAAGACCATCCAAGACAGCAGCTCCGCAGACAGGAAAGATGCAACACATTTGACATAGCTGAGGTCATGAAAAGAACCAACGTACCTGTCTGCTTCATCAAGGATGATTATTTTATGCCGACCTTTTGGAAGCGTGACCTTTTGCTGGGCAAACATTTTGATTTTGTTTCTCACAACATCAATGCCTCTGGAACAATAATTCAAGTGACTCGTGATCAGTTGGGTGAAATTACGTAACAGAATTTATTCAGCAGCCACAGCGCTCCTGAGCTCCCTGTTCTCCCGCTGTTTGTCCCTGCCCCTTCAGCTGTGCCAGTGTGACTGTTGTGAAACCACATTGTAAGCCAGACTGCCTAACTCGTTCAGATTTAAACAACAATACTCCTAATTTGGGGAGGCTTTGAAAAACAATTTAACAGCATCAGTATATATCTATCTATCTATCAGTAACCTGACAGTACTGCCCCAGATTACTTATGTTTGGCAAAAGGTAGGGGTAATAAATGAACAAGGGCACAAGCGTTTAGTACTGCCTTGCTGCTTCGCCAGCACTTCACACAGCTACACCCACAGACCCAGCTACAGCTCAGAAGAATTTAAGAAAAACAGCTGGACAGGCCGCATCATTTTAGCACAATACAGGTGCTTTCCTAGACAGTCCCAACAAACACTTACTTTTAAAAACAAAGGATTTTACTTTTTTGTTCTGTTTTGTGATTCTATACCTCTTCTATAACTGATATTAACAAAGGCAGGTAAAATGTATCATACGCATAAACAACCCTCTAGGAAATGTCCTCAGAATACTTCAGGATGGGTCTGATACAGAACTTGGGAAATACAATCAGCCCTTAGTGCCTGATCCTTGGAGTAGAGTCAGTGTCCTCTACATACCTAACACCCTTAGCCTACATTTAACCCCCAACTGCCCTTACAGCACTAATTTCTATCAATCACTTCACTTTTTTTCTTAAGCACTGAAGAGTTCCATTATAAACAACTTGTTTGCTTTTCATTCTTAGGAGGATCTTCACGAATGCAGGAAGTTTAACTCTTTAAAGTAAATTCAGGAAATCAGTTACCATTCTGCACTCCACCTGTTTATATTTTTGTACCCGGAAGTCTCAATCAAGTTTATAAAACACCAAGTAGTAATATCCATGTTGATAGGTGGACACCAAAATTTGCCCAGTTGGAAAAACTGCATTAAAATAAGTACTAGAGGCCTTACTATATAGTATTAAGCCTAGCACGCTGGCCTGAGTTGCAGTAAAAATAAAAATGGATACTTGCTGCTTCATTAAAAGTTCCATAACGTTTATTCATTTTCACCTGTCATTTGAGGCATTCAGCTCCAAAACAGCATCCTTCAACGCAGGACCAAGAAGAGCACGAGCCAAGCAGAGGATACTGGTGGTTTTACCTGTTCCTGGGGGACCCTAAAAATGCAAAATGCAACAACTGCTGGTGAGTTTAATGTCATTTTCTAAGCTGTACTCTCTACAACACTCCCCAGTCAAGAAAAACAGCTGCAACAGAGGAACTGCAGAGAGAACATCAGGCTAGAGGTTGCCTGAGTTCAGGATCCGGCCTCCAACAGAGCGAAACACTGCAGGGAGAAGCACAAGACATGCTGCAATGGGAACCTGAGGGCCAGGTCAGTTTTTAACAGAAAGCTGTTCACTATTGGTGTATTCTGCCAGGAACACCGCTCTGTAACAAACAATCAACATCTCTCTCACCAGTACACTCAGGCACAATGCAAATCTATACTGGGAGGCTACCTTGGTTAGATTTCAGAAGCCAGGACCAACACAGTGAAATACGGTACAACACAACAATACTTACAGCAATTATAATATTTGGTACGTTTCCTTCTTTTGCAAAGACCTAAGAAAGAATAAAAATTTTAAAAATTATATAACAAAATAGCAGGAACAAATAGTTTCCAATTCTATTCTAATAATGAGAAACAGACCTACAATTTTTGTTCTTCCCTCCTGCTTTAATGTTTTGAACCTTGCTGCTTTCATGTGTTGGGGTTTTTTTTGTTTTTTTTTTTTAATTGAACCATTAGAAGTCACTCCCTAGAATAATATGGAAAAACTTAAAAGCACTTAATCCCACAGGTCTTTAGTGCTCTTGCCTTCTCTTTACATCTCTTATATGTTTGCTAGTATAAGCCTTCTGTTAACAAATACTGTGTTCACAAACTAATTTGTGAAGGAAAACACTTTTCTTCCAGAAAAATTTTCTTCTTTCTGTTGTTGTATAAATTATATTTATTCACTGAAAGAACATTATTGTAACAGCCAGAAATTTTCTAAGTGGTATCAAAACAGGGCCAATTTAAACAACATCCCAATTTAAGAAGGCATTATTTCCTTCAAACACCATTCAAACATTCCTAAAATAAGTAATTTCTTCAGTGTATCAGAAGGCTTTTTTCCCCATGCTCAAGTATGGATGTTGAAATACAAAAGTGCTTTTACTGGTCTCCAGATCTATGCAGAACGGGTTTTTGAGCTAACCCCTAAAAGACGAAGGGACAGTTACACACCTCCAGCCTACTCACTGTATCTTCATTTCCAACTATTTCGCATAGTTTCATGGGTCTGTATTTTTCCACCCTGTAAAAGTAAAACCCCACACACTTCAGCACACCTAATAAAACTTTAATAGTGCTTTACACCGACAGAAAAGGAGGATTACGTTAAGACAGCACGGGACAAAGACGACTTGATGTGTCTTTAGTGCCAACGCCGCAGGGTCCCCCTCACTGCTAAGCACAGCATCCCACAACACTAATTCCTGAAAAGCTCTTTTATTTCCACTAGTATAAAAAAGGAAAAGGAAGGAAAAAAATGCTCAACTCGGACACGAGCTTGACCCCTCGGGCTGATGTGACAGGGCTAAGAGGAGAAGCCGCCCTGTGCGCTCTCCCGCGGTAACACACGGCAGGGCTGGCTGCCCTCCGCACAGACCTCCTGCCTTCCGCCCGGCGCTGCCCAGGCCCCAGCTCTGCCTGGGCAGGTTACTGGGTGCAGGCAGGGCCCTCACCGCTGCCAGGACCC